CATCAAATAATAGGTTTATATTACCGTTTACATGCGAACCTAAGCACTATAATCGTTCAAATGTAACTAATCAACATAAACCAAACTTACGTGCATATTTTTAACCTTCGAGATAAATACAAACAATTAACATCGGCTATATTACATATCGTAGCGCGCGCACCAACGACTAGTTTATAATAAAAATTGAAAATTTGTAGCACCGTGCTATGTCTAAGTTTTTTATAAATAAATTTGTAGAAGTATAAATTATTTTAATGTTAATAATATAATGAGTTAAGTTTTAGTAATAAACGGGTTTAAGCTAATTTTGTAAATAAACCACCCTTCAAAATAATAAATAAGGGAGTACATTAATATTTAATTTTTTTGGTGTTTGGAGAGCCACATGGACGACGGAGTTGAGAATCGATCCCAAGATCTCTTGGAATCGGAAGGAAAGCTCTAACCACTTAAGCTATATTTAATGGTGTGCCTTTATTCAGGATTCCAGGACGAGTGGAAGTTATGTTGAATATTGATTGTGCATAACAGCATAATACGGTAATAGTACTACTTAACGGAGTATTATATTATTATGTCCATAGATATGGTAAGTCATCATAAAGCTAAGTATTGAAAAAAAAATATATACAGAGTTTTCATAGAAAATACTCTAAAATATGATTAGCTAAATACCTCAAGTACGTTATATTTACTGAAACTCCCTACATATTGTTCATATTAACAATTTTTTTAATAAAAGGTATAATGGCTAATTTAATTAGTGGTTTAAATACTCATATATGTACCCAAATGTAGCTACTCTTAATAAGCTAATTGAATTGGCGGTTTCATTAAGAGTAAAACCGCTGATTCAATTAACGGTTTTAATATGAACAGAGAAAAAAATTGTGTTGATATGGACGATGTGTCCGAAATATTAATAAAGTGTGGCATAATTATGAAATTTAATGATTTTTTGAGGAATCTAAATGAAAATCACTCCAAATTATAAAAATCATTATGAAAAATTCGGTAACTTTATTCTCCTCAATTATTAAGGCAGGAAATAAATTTGATTTAGTTCCCTTATTAAACATTCCCAATTACCATAATTAAACACATAGACGTAATGTAAAAAAAAAGAAGTCCCAATTAACTTTTTAAACACCTTCATTATAAGTCATTACCCATTACCTTCTACACACTATTTATTACCACATATATTGTTTAAAAAATTTGTTCTCTCTCAAAAAATCAAACACGAGTAAATAATAATAATATGGGTAGGGCAAAAAAAGCAACAGAGTTTATAAGCAAGGAAAAAACAAGGAACACTACCCTTGTAAAGAGATTGAAAAGTTTGATTAAAAAAGGTCATCAACTTTCAATCTTATGCAATGTCCCAATTTGCATCATTATCTACCCTTACAAAGAAGGGAAGAACTACTTATCCATGGAAGCTCAAGTGTATTCCTTCAAAGGAGACGACGAAACGGCCTCGCATAATGCAATAGATATGGATATAGCAAGGGATCCCTTGCTAGCTAGGGAGATCATTGATAGGTATTTAAGGGTTCCTAAGGAAGAAAAAAGCAAAAGTGCCCGTAATTTGCATGACATTTTTGATGAGGGTAAAAGAAGGGCTAATCATCAAGAAGTTTCTAAACTAAAGCATAATAATAACAATAATGCATTATTATTGGCTAAATACCCTTGTTGGGATTCTTCCTTTGATAGGTTAAACCCTAATCAACTTTTGGAATTGCTTGTTCATTTGAATCAAAAGATTGAGTTTGTGAAGCAAAGGGTTGATTTGGTTAAGGGCTTTAAGGCTTATGATACTAATCAATCAACGTTGTTGGCAATGTCATTAGTGCCTTATTTTGAGCCAACACCCATCTCTAGTGTTATGAATCCTAGTGAAAATCATGCTCATCATCAAATGGGGTACCCTAAATTTGAAGGGTTAATTAATCAAGTTCCCTTTTATAATTTTCCTATTAGCAACAACAACAATAATAATCCTCAAGATTATTGCCACCAAATTATGCCCTTCAATCAAAATGTGTACCATGATCAAGTGGGTGCACCTAGATCAGATGATCATGGTGCTAGTAGTAGTAGCAGCAATATGGTTATGTACAATATGGATCCTACATGCTATGATCAAAAGCCAGGAATCGTCGATAACGGTGGGGCGATATCATCATACGGTGCTGGTTTGCCCACGTCTATGACCTTGCAGTTGCCTAATGTTTCCATACCAAGGCAGATGTTCTATAGGTAGGTATATGGAGAGTTGTTAATATTTGGCATGCAGTGTTGCTTATAATAAGATTTCATTTTTTTTTTTTATTTTTTTTTTTTTTTTTACAAAAGCAAATGATATTAATAAAATCAGAATTTACAACATACGAAATAAAAACTAAACTTGTTTAGAGATGAATGATCTATGTTTTTTTTTTTCTTTTTTTTTTTTTCTTTTCTCTAGGGCATAATTATTATATTGAGGTTTTAGCAATTGAGGTTTTATCAAATAACTTTGGTCTGGATCTTATGAATGATTTTGACATTTTTGAAGCATTACATAGTCACGAATTTTACGTTATCAGTTTTGGTTTTTCTATTTCATTTATAGGTGATCGTTTGTCTTAAGTTTTTTCTTTTTCTTTTCTTTTTTTTTTTTTATATCGATGGGTACGGACGGTGTTGATTATGTGAGACATCAAAGTTCATAATTTTCACCACGTTCTTCCATGAGTTCCTCACATATATAGCGAAGCAATAGGCTTAATAAAGCTAAATTTTTAATCTTTTCAACTTCTCATACAATATTATCAACGCAAATTCTTATATGTGGGCATGTAGCTGGCTATACCATACGGCCAGCCATCATAAGGGTTAGTTTGTTAGTGTATTAGGGGTTACTTCGTTAGTGTTAAAGGGGTTATTTCGTCAGTGTTATAAATTTATTCGGTTAATGTTATAGGGATTACTCGGTCATTATTACAAGGTTTACATGATCAGTGTTATAGAGGTGTGTGACCAGCCACACATAAGACATATTGTATTATTAAAGTAGACCGGATAATTTATGGAGCACTTCGTCTTCGTGTTAGTGTTACTATGTATGTTAGAACATAAAGAAAATAGTTATTTATCCCCATTAGCAAAAAAATAAAGTATCCCACTTATCTACTAGATGTCCTCATTGTATAATTTAAAAAAGTTGATGACCCTAAAAATTGGATGATTGGTCTAAAAAAGAAGTAAAATCCTAAAGGATTGTTGACCAAGCAATGTACTCTTTAATAATGTTCTACAATTGAGTGGCTGATAAATAATTCACAATCAAAACTTAAATTACATTGCAATCACAATCAAGCCCTCCTCAATGTGAGGGGAGCCTTAATTAATTTAATAAAACAAAGCCGAAACTAATCCACTTTTATATATTGAATTAATCTATGTATACTAGTCAATTGAGTATGTTCTTAAATCAAACTATATTGGTTGATGCTAAATAGCTAACTGCTTAGCCAATATGATAATATTAAAATTTTAAAAGGAAATCCGATCCAGATCTCAATAATGCACTTAAGTAAATTTAATCTCCATTGTCTTAGTATGATCTTCAAGTAAAACAATTGATTGGATCATTAGTTAATTCCAAATTCTTTCGCATATGCCAATACTAGCTAACTTAATTAGAATTTAATTTTTTTAAAAAACAAGTTTACTCTTGAAGGTTGAACGCATTTATATTTAGGACATGTCTAGTCATCCACAATCATGATTCACTGATTCACCTATATCTTCTCTAGTCTCTACTGTAAAACACACTTATAAATTTAAAATCATATCAAACATTTGTTAGAACACGCGTTCGAGTTTAAAATCAAAATGAGTATTGCCAACACTAATACCATAGTTGTACATATGTCATATGGTAGCTGCCATGCCATGCGTAAATGTACAAATGTGAAATCATCGTTGTTAAAAGACATGATTTTGGCATTTTAATTGTCTTGTTCAATTTTTACTTTTTACCATATGCAAGTATTTTGTTAATGTGAACTAACTTTTATTAGTAATGAACAAAAACCCCAAATCCAAAGGGGCAGACTTATATGGTAAATGTAACAAGGAGAATTCTTTTAAGAAACGCATTGATTCCAAGGTCATTTTCAAAGAAGCTAGAAGAATTTAGCATACCATTTGCTTGGCAATGACAACATTTTCAGAATCTAATCTCAAATGAAATGTGTGCGTGCCCTTTTAAAAGACAACATTAACACGACAAATACTATTTATCATTGAAAATAATGATGAAACAAAATTAATAAAATACATAAAATGACACGATATGACACTACACCACGAGCTTAGCCCTTGGTATGGCTCACACGGACAGCCACCATCGGTTATGCACTTATGCTACCTAAAGGTCATGGCAAGCACATCGCCAATTCGCCATATCCCCACATAGGAAGGACTAGTCGAAACTCGAAACCATCCGAGCACCCCGAAATTCTCTTATATGAAGGTGTAATGAACCCTATGATTGAGTTGCACTTACTCCACTTCACAATTTATGCCTTATTCCATTCAAATAATAGAAAGCCATCCATTTGATCCTTCACTTTCTGCCATCCAACTTAAAGGCATCAACCCGATTTGGGGTAATTTTCAACTGAAGAATATGCTTAGACCCCACCACAACAACATGCATATCAAAAAACGAAGTGGAAACTGTACTAATCCAACCATTCTTTAGATTTATGCAAATTTGCTCACTTTTTTTTTTATAACTAAATCAAGCCAACTTTTTCACAATCGTAAACTTGCAACTAGTTAACTAAATCAAGTACATATTAGTTGCAATTTTGGAATATTTTATATTTCACAAATAATACTCTAAATTTGCAAGACTTGCAACTAATACATAACGGACATAGTATGATCTCATGGAGCATTTTAGGACACATAGGGGACGTTTTCGAGTAATCCAAGGCTAAAATATGCGAAATTTGCATATCACAGTTACAAATTACTAGACAAAGCAAGTAAAGCACCAAAACATGGGATAAAGCAAAAGAACACGAGTTTATACAAGCATATATAGTAAGCATTAATATAATCATACATATAATCTGATCTTAATTATTCTTATTACCAAAAGCAGAACAAAAGGTACTAGAATAGCATACAAATATGAGCTTCTCTAATCTCCTCAGCCTCTTCCGGGCGGGATGATCCCTTCATCGTCGTCGTCGTCATCATCGTCGTCTTCCCACAAAACATAGGAGACATAACATAACATAACATAACATAAGCACTCTAAATTACATAGTCAGACCATTGAGTTATATGAGAAGTATGATCCATAGTTAAACTAGGAATCTTATCAAGTCTAAATGGATTTTCTTTACCACCAATTAATCTTGCAGGATTACCAACAGCAGTAGTTCTTGGTGGAACTTCCTTTAAAACTACAGAACCAGCCCCAATTTTAGCACCATCACCAATCTTAACATTCCCTAAAACACAAGTCCCTGCCCCAATCAACACCCCGTCTCCGATTTTCGGGTGCCGGTCTCCGCACGTCTTGCCCGTGCCACCTAAAGTAACACCGTGCAAAATCGAAACATTGTTTCCGATCACAGCGGTTTCACCAATGACCACCCCAGTAGCATGATCGAAGAGAATTCCTTGACCAATTTCCGCTCCTGGATGTATATCAACTGCGAATACCTCCGAAACTCGGTTTTGTATTAGCAATGCTAGGATCTTTCTACCTTGTGTCCATAATTTATGGGCAATTCGGTGTGCTTGACATGCTAAAAACCCCTTGAAATTCAAGAAACATTGAACATAGCTTATACAAGCAGGGTCTCTTTCACGAACAGCTCGTAAATCGGCTTTAACATACTCCATGATTTCCTTACTTTCCACAAGAACACCGAGAAATAAGTCAAAAAGGGTGTTTGAATTTAAGCTTGAAAAGCTCAACTTCGCTGCTAAATGATTAGCCAAAGCTTTTTCAAAGCATTTATGAGATAAAATCGAATTGTAATAGAAATTTGATAAAATGGGTTCTTGCTCAACATCAGATTTTGCTTCTTCCACCATTTTTGACCATAAATTATCATCATCTTCTTCTTCTTCAGATTCTTCGACGAATTCTTTCGAATTAATCGACTCCCGACTAATCTGCGAAATGGGTGCGCAGGAAACAAGATCAGAAAAAGTGGGTCGACAGTAATTTAAGTATCTATAACGATATTGATCAGTTTGAGATCGATCGGAATCGCAATTGTTTGAAGGCTCTGCTCTAGATGTATGAACACAAGTAGCCATTTTTTTTGTGGGCGATGATAAAAATGAAATGGGTATTTTGAAATTAGGGTTAGGGTAATTGAAATTTGAGATTGAATGGTGAGAATTGAGGAGAGAGAAAATGGATGGTTGTTGAAATGAAGGTGAGAGTGAAGGTCGGCTATGGTTATTATGAGTATATATAATACCCAAGAATTTTGAAGAAATTGAGGATTTTTGGGATAAATTTATGGAATTAGAGTAAACAAGTAGTAGGCTCATGTCACTGATTTTGTCACTCTTTTCTTTCTTATTAAAAAATAAATAAAATAAAATTAATTACTTGTATTTTGAGAGAGGGTTTCTATGTTGGTGAGGTTTTTTGTTTGTGTTTTTTGGGTAAATAAAAGGGATTCTTGGACCATCTTGTTGGTAATTGTGAGTGGGTATTACTGGGATATAAGCCATATTTGAAAAGGTCAATGGTGTTTCGTGTTGGTTTTACAGGGGTTAATATTATGTTATCAAAATAATGTGAGATTTCTTGCACAATTCATTTTTGTAATATTAGGTTTTCTCAATGCATAATTTCAATATTTTATTTTCCAAAATATTTTCATGGATTAATATTAAGTGCTTCAATTCATATATTTATAGTCTAAGTTATAAGTTGATAAGAGTGAATCATAATATTACGATTTTTTGTATACAAAAAAGGTACGGTTTAAAAATACTACATACCCAGTATGATATTTGTTCTTATAAAATAAATCACAAAAGGGGAAATGATGTAACAGATTTGATCATAAGTCTTGGATACAACGAGATTATTCATGTGCTTTAGCATGAAAAATACAAAATTAAGTTGCCTAAAAAGACGATAAACATTTTCAAGGAAACTATTCTACATGATTAAGAATACATTATATTAATTATCTTACATTGTCGTTTCCTGATTTACTAAATTGTCTAGATATGTACTCCAATTGAACTATTAGGGAAAGCAATGTGTTTAGAATTTTGATTGGTTTTCTATAATATGGATAAGATTTGAGATTCATTTAATTTTGTTCCAAATTTAGTTGCTCTGAGTTTTATGAGGTGATGAATTCTAATGGTTGACAATCAATCAAATGAAATTCATTGTTCCAAAAGCTAGTATTCACGAGATACATGTATGTAACGAACCCTAATTAGTCAGTACTTCGTACTTTTAATTAGTCAAATAGATCGGTTGATCAAAGATCAATACTTGTACTACATGTTATAATTGTTTATTTTTTTTACCAATATACACAAAGTACTACGTCATAATAAGTAATCTCAAATACCTTCCATGTACTACATTGAGTTTCATATTATTTGTATATTGCATAAAAGGGTTTATTGTGTGATTTAGTAAAATTATATTTCTTTCAAAATACATTACAGAGTGGATAATACATAAATCATATACTCGTATATAGTGTTAGCTAAAAAGACTCATGGTTAGGTTTAAAGGTATTTATTTTAAAGCTTAAAAATAAAATGTGCAAATACGTAAACATCAACGTTTCAATATTTTGAATGACAGAATGATCGAGTAAAATTTATATAATTAACTTTTATAAATAGATATGAATTGCCAGACGAATCTATGACTAATTTTTGTAATTAAACTTCATGCTTCATGTGATATTATTTGAATTTTTGTAATAGTGGGAAACTATGACTAATATTTGAAACATTATCCATGAATTTCAAAGTGCAACCAACAAAGAAAGAACATACTAAGCTAATGTATCAAAAAAGTTTAGAAAAGTAATAAATTGAAAACTTGATTGTGAAGTTAGTAAATAGGAATTGAAAGTCTTCTTGAAAGTGATTCTTGCAAATTGCACTCTGAATTATTTGCTTGATATATAAAAAGTGAGCTTGCAACATTTTCGCATCATATGTCGACAACCTTCAAGTCTCCTCTTTGAAACCACAAACTGATCTGATAATTATATTTTCTTATTAAATACAAGTCTTTCTCAACTATATATAACCAAATCTCTTTAAATTATGTGAAGTCTTGAATTCTCATGCATATAAATCTTGTAAATATAAATAAAATAGCTTTTGTAATGTATATTCCAACTTGTTTCTTTACTAGGTTATCAAGTACTTCGTATATATAATTATATTCCGTACTTAGTATATTTTATTTTCATAAATAAAAAAAAATATAAACTATATATGAATCAAAAATTATAATAATAATTTTACAAAAAGTCGAGCTGCTGCACAACCGGCTGCGGCCCTCCACGGATAAAATGGACAGATCGGACGGTTAAAAGTCCTCGATGAAAAACCTTAACAAGATAATGTGAAGTGAGTTTGTTTGAATCTAATTCTTGTCATTTGTCTTTCCACCCACTTGTAATTGGTGACACGTGCATTTCCAACTAGCACGTGATCCTCACTGAATTGAGTTCTATCACTAGTTTATGGGTTTGCCTGTCAGATAGTTTCATAAGGATGATGCATGTACTTACTACTTGTTGATTTTTTCTCCACATAAGCTAAATGTTTTAGTAGTAACAATGATTACTCAAATCTTAATTACTTCGACTATTTGATTTATTTCAATAATACGGTACACTATTCTTAAATCATACAAACATGTGTAAGATTATTGGCTGATTTTAAATCAAAAAGTTAGGGGTTTAAGGTTTGATCCCCTAACCTTTTGTGTAAATATTATTTTACTTAATCGTTATGCCACAAATTTCTATACTTAATTACTAGGCATCATACTACTTATAAGTTATAACCAATTAGTTAGGAAAGGTTTGGGGGTCTAGACATTAACTAGTCCCAATTAAGATCCGCCTCTAACCTTTGTGTAAGATGAATATTGTACCCTCTTTAAACCCTGACCATATAATGTTGCGCACTGGTATTGAGCCATCGAATATGTTAAATTATAATTAGAGTATATGTTGAACTTTTTTGATTAAGATAAAGGTAATCACCATTTTCTGTGAGGTAAGGTCTTGCTTGGTAAAAAGAGTTTTGGTCTGGGTAAAGAATTGATTCGGTAAGTTTGTTGTGCTCTAAGTTCTACTTGGTAAAAATATGAAGTTTATTATGTTATTTGGTTGTGAGATTCTAATTAAATGACAGCTCTATCCAAAAATTACTAGTATTCATTTTTCTATATCTAATACTCAAAAGTTTGACTAAATAAGCTAATCAATTTTCAACGAAATCTCAACATTAAACTAACTTGCACATGTATACAAGTTGTTTGTGAAACGTGGGATGGACCGTGGCAACCCCATTTACTTCAAAATATTGGAAGTGTCAATCATAACATACTATTTTTAGGTTAAATTTGGGTTAAATTGACACATCGAATCGGATTGAGTCAAGTCTAAGGGTGAGTTTATCCTTAAATCGAGATTTATACTCCAAACTTGCCACATCAGATTTTCTCTAACTTTAAATTACTTTTTTATTATTCAGACTTATACAACTATACAAGAGTTTTTTCACTTCCACACTTTATTCCAAGACTCAATTCACCTACCCTTTTAAATATATTAATATTTATTTACTTATATATTTATTTCCTTAATAAATTATTTTAAAGGTAGTGAGTTGGCAGCTTACTAGTTGGAAACAATTTTTTTATTTATTTATTTTTTTTTTTCCGGTCCTTTTATGTAGTCTTAAGATGAGTTTTGGAATCCAAAACTTATCTCAAGACTACGGGTCTGTTCGGCGTTAGCTTTTAAGGTAGATGTTAGCTTTTATACCTAGTCAAAACACTATCTTAAAATAATATTAGTGTTTGGTGAAGTAGTGTTTTAACTAGCTGTTAGAGGTAGAGGTAGCTTTTAGCTAGCTGTTGTTATTTTAGTTTTTCTAATGAACCTTTTTTTTTTTTTAGTTTTTATCTTTTTGGCTCAGTATTATTTGTTTCCGTCAATCACAATATCAAGTTTTCTACTCCGTATCCTTTTTTCTCTATTTTTTTATTTTTTTTTCTATTTTATTTTTTAAATTGATTGCTTAATAGCACTATATATTATACTACATATATTTATAATTATCAGACATATGATACATAACACACTTATAATAATAACAACAATAATAATAACAGCCGTCTTTTATAGTTTCAATCGCTACTTTTACCAAACACTCATAGTATGAATCGCTACCTTGATAGTTGAGCTTTAAAAGCTACCTCTACAGCTAACAGCTACTCAAAAGCTAATAGCCAATGGCTACAGCTAGTTTTGCCGAACAGACCCTACATGGTAGTCTTTGTATAATTGTATAGATTATTGTTATAGTCTTGTTCAAAACTCCTGGGATAAACTTACCCTAACAAGCCTACATCTTACTAATCTAGTGAGTTGCCGCAAATTGTGCAATAATTGGATTCCCCCGAGTTATATTGATTGACCAGCAACAATAAAACGAGAAAGGTGGTTGGTTACGTATGAGTTGACGTGGTGATGAAACACTTGCACACAAAAATTTGTTCAATGATCACGAACAGACACCGTGGAGTATTTTGAAGGAATATTACCCATTTTCCAAATTCCCCACCAAAAGGTATCTATTGTTAATTGTAGACGCCATAACTGATCCCGTGAAAAACTGAAAAGAAATGGGGTCATGGCCTCATGGCTCGTCTTCGGTTAGACGGTCAACTTTTTTTTTTTTTTTTTTTTGAACAGGAACTTTTAAGTTTTTTGTAGGAAAATTAGAATTGACAATTTTATAATTTAGATTAGAATTCAGAAATTTTATTTCATAATATAAACCATTGTAAATTTGTAATATTCAATAAATTAATGGTACAAGTTTATTAAGCTCAACCATAATCAAGCAAAAAGGGAAAAAAAAAATGACTAGCTAATGCATTTTATCTTAAGATTCATGTATTGATTACATACAAATATAAGCTTTTATTACAACTATTATAAAAAGTCATAGGAGCTTTGATCAAAATATTCTATGCAACTCTTTAGTGTTGAAGAGAGTACTATGTAACCTTTTAACCTTTTCTTCTAAATCAATCCCAAGTCAATCAATAGTATCATGACTATCATTATTGTAGCATAATTTAGTGGCTGCTTTAATAAAGTAAACAGCAATTAGAGCTAATCTATTTCTTAAGTACGTTTTAGGTAAGTTGTCTTCAATTTGCTTCCTTCCTATTTCAATACTTTTTGAATCAATGAATATAGCATACCTCCTGAGCATACTCTTAGAAATGAACGTGAACTAATAACATCCCCTAACCATTAGAACCGATAAGAACAATTATAACAATACACATTACAAAATAAGTAACTAGGAAAATAATCTATTTGTTTTCTTATGAGAGGTAGATTATGTAGAGATTTTTAATGAAGTTTGTTTTAAAGTAGGTGAGGCATGACATAAGGAAAGGGAGAATAAAGCTTTATAAGAAAGGAAGAATCTATTGTCAATCGCATGCAAAAATCAAAC